TCCAAGAGCTGTTACCTCAGACCTTCAGACGTTGCAAAGTCAGCATATAAACTAACTGGAAGTGGAATCTGTGCCTTACAACTGCTCAGACACAATTGCGCCATTAGCGAATGTTTAGAAGATCCCATGCGGCAACAAACCACACACATCGTCACTCGCACATGCACAGCAGTCCCACGCACGAACACACACTCAACTTGTTTATCCTTCCATGCAGAACCAGACACGGTGCCTTGCATGCCCTTAATCAAACACAAGTAGATCCCTCCCTCTCATGAGCACTGACCTAGCGATGAACCATTCATTAACTGCTACTCAACGCAAATGGTAGGTTGCGGAGCACAGCCTTGACAGATACACACTCTGACCTCATTGGTCAATGGCAAAGAGTTTTAGTGCAATATCTGCTTCAAATGCAGGAAATAAAATAATGAGATTAGCACGGCGGGGAGCACAGATGTCCTCTACCAGAAATGAGATTTTGGTTCCCTTGTACCAGCCTCATTTGTTAGGCAAAGTTGGAGTTTGGTACGGGATGTTCGGGATTAAGCGGTGGGTATCGCGATCACTCGGCGGCTTTGTTAAACTTTAAGTCACCCTCTAAGTACGCCCACCAGCTTCCCACCCTCTGACCTCCTCCTCCTCTACTGGGGCTGTTGGGGTCTTATCTCCAGTGGATGTGGGCTCCTTTGGCTTCACACTAAACCTCATGTTGACATTCCAGAGGACCGAGCCTTGTGCAAACACACCAGGCCCCACCAGATGGCTAGGCGAGGGAGGACAGGGCCAGGACGAAGGACGCAGAGGAAGACTGGGAGGAACTGGGAGGAAACAGGAAGAAACAGCGGAATCAGAATGAAAATCACTTTTACCACCAAAATGTCAGGCTACCCTAGCGATTTGTCAGCCTGTCACTGTGCCAGATTGCCTCAGGTTTGATCCTCTGGCAAATGAAGTCTCCTGTCAGACTTCACTGGAACAAAAAGCAGACGTCTGTACCTCACATACGATTCTACCCTTCAACATGAATTGTTCTTCTTGTGTCCTCCAGCTACTGCCCCGTCTCCCTAAAGTCATTCAAAGCTAACACTTGAGGGGTCACTGGGTTAATCTTCTGAGCATTAGGAAAACCATGGAGGAAAAAGCCCTCCAAATGAAAAACTCATTTAGGGCTTTGACTGAGCGTGGTGGGTCATGTTTATCTGTGCAGGGCAAAAAAAAAAAAAAAAGTATCACTGCTCCATGAGTTTCTGGGGCATTTGTGTGGGGAAAAATAAAACATCAGAATGAATTCCTACTGCAGTAAATACGAACGAACAGTATTCCTTTTTATTTTGACCTTATAAAAGTCACGCAAAACAGCTATTTTAATATGTGATAATATTTAATATTTGATACATGATATATGGACTGTGCAACATATAAAACAGGTTCATGGATGGAGAAGGGGATGGACAAAATACACCTCTTTAATTGTGCAGTGCAGTATAATAAGTTTATATGGTGATTTAAATGTGTATGATGTAAATCCATGCTATAAATAGCAACACTTAATGTGATTAGATATATGAGAATCTGCTGTGTTTTTCCTGTTGCAAAAACACCAAAAATGAAGGCTTTACTCAGACTTTAAATTAGTTGTCAGTTGCCTTCACATGATCGCTGACTGACTGAGGTCATAGGTAACCCATCTAGTTATTCACCCCTACATCATTATCAATATGTAACCAGAAGTGATAAAGTTTCTCCTCAGAGAGCAAGCTTTGCTCTAAGTTAGGATCCCTTGCGTCACATTACTGACATCAGATAAAGTGTATTTGTCTCACACAAATGCAACGACAGCTCAGGGGGCATTTTGTCAAGATGAAACAATCTAATCCTCTATTTCATCTCCTGCCTGTGTGTGCCATCAGCCCACAGCACAATAGACAGCCGTTCTGATAAAAGTGTGCAATAGCCAGTGTGGATATCCGGCTGCCTTTCTCTCCCGCTCCCTCCTTTAATGAGGGTGTATGGAGCTGTGGTTTATCCTGCCACTTTTTCTTTCCAATCCCCCTCCGATCCTCCAGGGCTCTAGCTGCTTTCTTCCCCCTTATTCTATGGAAAAAGAGGAATGTTTTCTGACTGACTTTTCCCTCCAAGCCCTTTTTAGGTTCCGGAGACATGAGGGGACACGTCTGTTGGAGGAAGACATGGAACTGGTGTGTGTCTATTCAGAACAAGTTGAAGCTTGGTATTAGAGGGGTTCCAGATTTATGTTAAAGAACACTTTTTTTAAGTTGAATATACTCACCTTTGTAAAAACCCGTGTTGTTATTGTCATTTTACTGGTTGAATAACAGCAACATATTCTATAATCATAAATGTATGACTTCCAGATTATTATTTGGTTGCTTTTCATCCACCAAATATTACATATATTACATTCATGTCCCCCGCAGGATGAACTGTCATAACTATGTTGATTAACTTTTGATGCAGCACCATCAAGTGAAAATTGAAAGGTTTCAAACACTTGCTTCAGAAGCTCTCCCTAATGCCATGACCTCCCGGTGGCTCCACCACTGTCGTACTACTGTATGCACCACCATTACTAAATACAACCAACAATCCACGGCTGCCACTATCAATCACACACGCTAATAGATCAACTTTGATTCACTTACATCAAATCAGATAAATCAACTACTCACTCTGTTGAATTAAATCTGTTCTGATAAGAGAAAAAACAGAGAAATCAATCAGCTAATCAGAGCACCTATTAGTCTGCCAGGAGACGAACAAAGACTCTTTGTCTGATCAAAGATCCAGACACACAGCCACACTATCATGACAGTGATGAGTTCCCCGTTCATTAACAAAATTGCTTTGACCGCTGGCATAAGTTTAGAATCTAACTTGATCACATTTACTGTGTTTGTGCTGAGCTCAGCAGTTTTGCATGAAGACTTTGCCTTTCAGGATAACTGAAGTTGTTTTTATGTAAAATGACACCATTCCTGTTAGAACAAACATGTCTGAAAAACCCACTTACTGAGGCTCCGCAAGATTTGTCCAGTTTCTCTGAATTAACCACAGAAATGGTGGAGAACTCCTCTCACATAGTAAGTAAGGAATCAAAGCATACAAGCAAAAGTACTTTCTCCTGAAAAGCTCTGAGAACTTTGAAATGACAGCTCAACCATCTCCACCCGCATCAGATACTGAGAAAAAATTAGGAATGTGCAGTTTAATGTTAGCACATTCTTCCGACTTATAAAAATAAAAAATTCTCTGCCCCTCACTGCAAAAATGCATAACTTCATACTTAGTGCAACTTAAACATCCAACAGAGTCAAAGACTGGGACAAGGATCCATTTTTCCATCATTTATTTCGCAAATGGGCAATAAACACTTGCAAAAAAAAAAAAAAAAAAAAAAAAACATCTTAAAGTTGGTCCAGTAGAAAAAAACAAAAAAAAAAAACACTTGAATGATTTAATACTTTGTTTTTCAGCTTTCAATTCTGTCAAGTAAATTTGGAGTCTATATTTAAGTCTAAATGAGGGAGCGGATTGCTAATAGGTTTTTTTCCAAAATCTTCTGTCTTTCAATTATACATAAATATCCAGAAATCCATCTCGTTTCCTAAAGCAAATCTAAGAAAGAGTAAAATGACTGGATAGAAATGGCATCAACATCTACATAAGAAAGGGATTAGCTGACTATAAAATGTACACTTTTTTAAAAAATTTAACTTAAAATTCACATTCATATATAAAACTTACAAAACCTGGATCTTTCAAACCTACTAAAAATAGCTTTTTTCTGTTACTGTTGAAAGATCATTTTAAATTACCATAAATTTAATGAATTATTTATGTATTATCAGCATCATTAATGTCATCATTTCTGCCATATTGTTTTTGTTCTTTTTTCCAGACTTTTTTGATTTATTTCAAAAACACATAAGTCAATAAATTAACATGCTACCTCAGTCCCTGAAAGCCAATACTCAACTGTGTTACTGAGTGAGAGTAAGACAGGTGTTTGTGTTTATTAAAGTGTAAAACCATGTCTGCACGTGTGCGTGTGTGTGTGTGTGCGTGTGTGTGTGTGTGTGTGTGTGTGAAGAGAAATATAGTACACATAACCTGTTAGCATACCTGCCTCAAACTCAAAAGTAGGGTAGGGAGGGATGGGGTTATTTCGGAGTCCATACAAAAAATAATTCATTGTAAATATATAATATATATTTATACATATTTGAATATATTTACAAATATACCCAGCACTATACATTATACTGTGTATTTTTTTTCTCCAGAATAATTGGGAAGGTTTATCAAGAGAACCGAAAAAGAAATGCATCAATATTACAAAATAAACAGGAGAGCAGTCTCTATATGTGCTCTCCCCCTATTCCTCTGTTTTGTTAGTCAGAGCTTTGTCTCTCAGTCCTTTTCCTATTCGTCATCCTCTTCTAGTCCCTTGTTTTAAGTTCACGTCGATCCATACATTCCTCCAGGAGCAAATAACAGTCTTGGAATGCCAGCCACTGGAATGGGATCACCAAACATATAATGCCGTTGATTGCAAGAAGACTCTCTGGGTACAAACATGAGAACCAAACTGAAAAGTCTGTGTGTTTATATGAAGGGAGCGGAGGAGGAGGGTCCCCAGTGAACGTCAATTAATTCAGTCAGTAAAAAACAGCTTCTGCAGGGTCCCTGGCCTCTCCTTTAAGACCTCATGTGGGCATGCAGTGTGTGTGTGTGTGTGTGTGTGTGTGTGTGTGCGTACGTGTGTGTGCATGGCAGTAAGAGTGTGTGACAGCAGCGCTGCCACCAGCCCAGTCCCATCTGGGTCCATTAGTCCACTGGGAGCCAGAGGGGGTGATGGGGGGGCAGGAGGTTTGGTGGATGTCAGAGAGGGTGTCTGTGCTACGTGTGTTTCGGGATGTCGAGGGGTAAGACTGGGGCAGGTCGAGCCGGGGTAGAGGGGGTGGGTGGGTAGGGGCTCATGTCTTGACGTTTCCATTGATGTGCTGGTACTTGGGGAGGCAGGGCTCGTCCGGTAAGGGGTCGTGGGAAAACACAGAGTCGTCACCGGAGGAGCAGGAGCTGCGGGTGTCGGGGAAGCTGGGGGAATACTGCTCTGTTGGGGCGCACAGGTCCAGATACTCCTGCAGACACAGACGGAGGAAAGAGAGGGTTGAGTGAGATCATTTACACTCAGACACAAGCTCATATGTTACAGAAAGGAAGATGCTTCGAAGGAGTGAGAGATGAAAGACCTAGAGCAAACAAGAGAACATAAATATAGTGCTGAAACCCAGTCAACAAGAACAGGGACTTTCCAGAGGAGGGTAAGAGAGGGGAAGAAGAAGAGTATCACCTTCATTATGATATTTATCTAAATCACAAAAAAAAAAATCACCCTGTAAAGATTTATGAAACAGAGCAGAAAAAATAATCTTAAACTGGATACTGTACGAAAATATTTGCAGGAATAATAAGTCATAAATTGAATGTTGGACTGCTGGCTGATCCAGTGGAGCTTGGAGATAGCAGGGCTGACCTAGTTGCGGGTTTGGTCCACTACAAAACAGATTCATGTGGTTGTGAAGTTGGGGAAAACAGGATACGTTTGGACTAGAGAACTGGGGTAAAGTTGCTGTATCTCCGTCTTTACAGCATCCCCTCACATCACCCTCCAGTTCAGTCCAAACAAATGTGACATCTGACACTGAAACGCCCTACATAAATGCTAAGAGAGGGCTGGGAGAAAGAAAAAAAAAGGCCATTGGCAGAACACAACACTGAACTCCAAAAAAAAAATGAACATGAAGAAAGATGAAAACCCCAAGAAATCCTGTTATTAATTTTTGACTCGGTCCAGTGTTGTGAAGTTGTTTTGGTCTTTTTAAGTCAGCAGAGGCCTTTTCTCCCTCCTCCTTGTCTTTCATGGCTGTTATTGGGACTAGTTGAGAGGAGGAAGAGTTCTTGGGGTTTTCTAGAAAATGAGCGCTGGCTTCCATTTTCCCAGCTCAAAACGAGAAGGCTCACATTACTAAAGACCTCCACATCTGCCAGCGGTTTGGGGCAGAGGGAAAGGAGGGGGGGGGGGAGGCAAGAAAAAGGCGCTTTATTACATTTCAAAAGTTCAAACTCAAAGTTGGGCTTTTTTGGCATAAATTCATGAAGTTCCAGCTCCGGAGCAGACGAGTCTTGACAGCTTTCCATCGACGGCCTCTTTTCAGGTCGGCATGCGGATATCACACAAGACAGGAAGGGGAATGGAAAGAAACGCAGGCCATTGTAGGGAGCGAGCCATGGATGTGATGATTGGGCAACTTCACTGGGCCGTAGCGGCCATGATGGACCTGGATCAAATCATCCGGCCATTTTTTTCGGTCACCATTTAGGCTAATGCTCCTAAAGCTTTCAGCAACATGCTGCTGAACCCTGCGCTCACTGGCAAGAGTGTGATTTAGTTTGGATTGAGAAACATGTTATTGTGTGTAGGAATGTATCATATTATTTGATTTTATTGTTATGAAATACTGGAATTTGCCAGGAAATTATAGGGTTTGTGTAGCATAGTTTCTGACCACCCGGAATCCAGGAAATTCATGGAAGGGGAATGACAGAGCTGCACTCACCTCGTTGGTGCTGAGGGTGAGGATGCGATCCAGATCCTCTACTAGCTGCTTGAAGGTGGGTCTCTGGGATGAGATGGCATGCCAGCAGTCTTTCATCATCATGTACCTGAGAGAAAGAAAATCAGAATCAGTTCACGCAAAGGAGAAGAGTGGCTGAAGGGAGCGAGAACAGAGTAATTCAGTTTTGTAGCCATTATTCAGTTTGTTCAAATTCATGCTGTGACACTTCTCATCTACCTCGTCTAATATCTTGCATTTCAGCTGAAATGATTTATGCCCCTGGACTCAGGTGTCCACATCTCAAAGAATAAATCAAAACAGCAGGCGCTCGCTGACGCCGTCTCAATTTCTTACATTTTGATGGGATGCTGCTGATCACAAACTTGCCTCCCAGTGCTTTGGGATTTTTTTTTTTATACACTATAATGTGTGTGTGTCATGCACTGCTCTCTACTTTGTTCTCCATCAACCCTCTCAGTGTGGCACCACGGCAGAACTGTGCCATTGTCCGCTGACTGCAGAGGACTTATTGTGAAAGAGGACACTGATAGCAGCCAGTCACAGCTGTGCAGAGGGTCTGACAGAGTGGACACAGAGCCCCGGAGTCATGGATCTGATGGAGACTGGGATGGCGCTGAGTCTTGTTGTAAGAGTAAGTGTGTGTTTGGGTAACAGCGTGGTTAGGGAAGATGCCAGTTTGGCAGAAAAGAGCAGAACTTACAGCTCGTTGGTGCAGTTGCCAGGCTTGTCCATGCGATGGCCTTCTTTGAGCAACTTGAAGAGCTCTTCGACAGGAATGCCAGGGTAGGGTGAGCCCCCTAGGGTGAAGATCTCCCACATCAGCACCCCAAATGACCAGCTGGAAAAACAGACACATATGGATTAATAATTACTCGCAAGAATGAGACTGAAACGGCAGGATTTGTCTGTAAATAGTGTTAAAGAGCTCCCAAGGTAATTTAAATAACATTAGGCCCAATGAGCGTCACTTTCTTTTAACCTACAGATAATTTACATAGTCACTTAGTCAAAGTTTGGATACAACTTCAACAGTGTGACAGCAGTGGTGTCAATGCCCTCTTTCTGCCGTCCGGTGGCTTGCGGCGCAAACCCGCTCCCAGTGCCACTCTGGCCCTGATCTCAATGATGGCTTTTGTGCCCGGCTGGCCGGTCACACAGGCTGGCATTGTCCAGTCACACCACACCAAAACAAACAGTAGACCACCCACAGCAAACAAAAGAGGAGGGAGAGGATAAGCGACAGCTAGGGAATATTAAGTATTAACTGCTTCCTCATCGCAGCGTCCGGTAGTTAAGTATCAGAGAGTCCATGCTGCTGATTTCCATCACTGTCGTGCTGCATGTTTATATCACAGATCCAGAGTGTTTCAAATGAATCATTCTTGCGCTGACGGCATGCTTGATTCAAGTCCACACAAAGGCTGTATGATAGCACACAGACATAAACGTGCACATGCGCATGACGGCAGCTACAGGCCATGTTAGTGTTGCAGCCAGGCAAGTGAGCGTGGACAAGCAGGTTGGGCTTTTATCAGTTCCTCCATCTGTTTACACAACCAACCCCAGGTTTGGTCTCTCCTCTATCACAGCGTGGTATCTCTCCACTTGTTGACACACTCATCTCTCCTTTCTGTGCTACTTTGTAACCGTCTCTCTCTCTCTCTCTCTCTCTCTCTCTCTCTCTGCTCGTCTGCCTGGTAGATTGTGCAGGTTCGTGTCCACCTGCAACCAACTGTGACTCACCAAATAAACAAGCACACCAACACGCTCCGGGTCACTTCAGAAGACCAGACATTCAGCCTTACTATGTATTCATGTAGGTCGATGTCCTGGAGTCGTTCATACCTCATTACATTCATATCTCAAGCAGTTAGGGTGCATGTTCTCTCTTGCTGAAGTTATGATATTGACTGAGAGCAATATGAATCAGAGAACCACTCAATACATGGACGTACATCAGTGGATCTGATCAAAACATGAAGATTCAAGACTATGAAACGTGGTAAAGGAGCTACAGCGGAGGGAATACATTTGTTTTTCTTGTTGATGTTGGGGTGGGGTGGGGTGGGGGTGCAAGACCCCCCACGCTGCCTCCACCAAGCCTGGCCACTGACATCGTCTCTCTGGGCTTGGGCTACAACTCTTTACCCTTACCTACACCAGCCAGGGCTAAGTCCCCCGGGCCCATTTGTCAAAACAACAAGGAGCGAGATTCATTGGAATTCATGTATTCATTTAATCTGATGTCATGTATGGATCGCCGACGCTTCTGGTGATGTTTGAGCGTGAGCCCACCACCCTCCACCTCCACAACACCTCTCCTCATCTTCCTTCTCCCGTCATATGCTTTGTGAAAAAGCCAATTACTAAAAGTGAGTGATGAAACATAATTAGCGGTGAGCTGATAGAAAGGACTACAGCGGCCACTTCATGCCTGCCAACCCCCCCACCGTTCAGCCCCATGCACTCCCCCAGTATATTGATCGGTGCTGCGCTATGGAACATGAAGGGCATGATGTGTATGGACACATAGTATGTACGTGCACAAACACACATACACAAACGTGGGCAGTAGAGAGACTCTGTATCCCAGTGCTTAACTGGATGAGTGCTATGTTTAGTGTGCTACTGGTGTACGACTCACAGACACACACACGCAAAATCTCCTTTCCCAGGGGTCAGCATGAGAGGCATTTATCTAATTGCCACATACACTTTCTGCCGCCAGTGTCTGAAGCAGAAACTTCAAACAACGCTGTCAGAACGCATAAGACTCAAACACCAAAAAAGAGAGGGACGCTCTCTCCCTTTGTTCTGTTTTTAGAATGAATACTCTTGAACTTAAAAAAAGACAAGAGACAGAGACGGGTCAGCAATTCGCATACCAGATGAATGAAAATAAGAACGATGGGGGTGAAAGGAGGGAGGGGGAAGATTATTTTGATCATGGAACGGCTCCAAAACGATGAGCCACATGTTCAAAGTGTTGCTGAATGAGGAGAGGAGAGTGAAGACGGGATGGCAGTGGGTTAAAGGGGGTGGGTGTAGGGAGGATGAGGCCCGGACCGCAGGGCTGCAGCATTGTTGCGTTCAGACATGTGTGGAGGCCCAAAAGGAGGGGAGACTTCCGAGTCGAGCCGGAGGAGCGAGGGATGAGGCGGTGGGGGAGGAGGCGCTGGTGGGCTCCGGGCTCCTTCCAGGGCTCTTTGAAGCCGGTCAGATTAGTAACACGGCATTGACTACAAGTCTAGCGTGAAATCCTCACTTTTGCCACAGACTGGCCAGTGCTGGCCCCCTATAGCCAGTCATCCCCCCACCTAACGCTTACCAGCACTGCACCAAAACACCTCACCCCACCCCTGAAAAACAAGCCTCTGAATCTGACTGCAGGCTACAGGAAACCAGCTGGGCTCCACATTAGATCTCCGAAATCGCAGCGACAGAAAGTCTTTTTACACAAGAAAGTTGAGAAAGTTTACTTGCATCACAGGTGATTATTGTATGATGCATTTTCAGTTGTGGGGCACAGAATCGGTTTGTTATATACTTACACATCACTCTGGTGTGTGTAGACCCGGTCAAACAGCGCCTCTGGAGCCATCCATTTTACCGGGAGACGACCCTGAGGAGACACACACACACACACACACACACACAGGCGAGAGGTCAAACAACATCTACACACAAAACACCCCTGAACACCTTCATTTCTGGCCTGATCAGCATGTTTGAATTAATTCACTGATGGGAGATCTCATTACTGCCGGAGAGCCTGGGGAATACGACTCTAGGCACCAGGAGCGACTGTCTGGGCGGAGGATTTCCCAGAGGAACATTTACATTGTTAAAGCAATAGAGCTGATAAACAGGGTCACAGATAAAGGAGAGAGTTTATCTCTATGTGCTATTAAAACACTGGCTGAGAAGCTAAGCACAAGACGGGGCGACCTTGATCGATGTCTGTGCGGTAGCCTAACGGCAAGAATAATCTCATCGGACACTCGGAATTATTAAATGGAGAGGCAACATCTAAATAAGTCCTTATAAAATAGAAATTTTCAGCTGCTGTAGTTAATAAAAGGCAGCAAGCTAAACACATAATACATTAAAAAAATTTAACTTTCCATTTATTGCATAAAGACTTTAATTGTGCACCGGCATTACTTTTTCACCGGGTAACACAACAATAACAAGAGCACGGTACGCTGTTCTGCTCCTATCAGACTGGAGGAAAAATAAACAGAAATTTAAAAAAAAAAAAATGTGGCACTACAATGATAGCTCTGTCTAGATTGGTTGAACGCGATCATCATTGTAGCTGCTGTCATTGTCCTAATCATCATTACCATCATCATCATCGCGTATTGTTGTTGTTGTTGTTGTCAGCTAGTTCTCAGCATGATTGTGCATGCGATGAAAAGGCAACCATGCATACCAAATGAGGATGCGCAGGCAATGCTGCTCTGCGGTGGGAAATATAGACACTATGGAGATGTCAATTATGTTTAAGCCGCTCCCCTCTCTCTCTCTCTCTCTCTCTCTCTCGCTCACTCTGTCTCTCTTTCTGGCTAATTGTGTAAGTGTCTGTGGAACCAAAGGGACAAGAGACTGAGGGATAAACAAGGCAGAGTCTCCAGAAGCACTAACATTCACAGGCTGCCTGGGAACCCGCGGCTTCTGCCAAGACACCAGCCGAGGGAAAGAGTGAAACAGAAAGATGAGGGAAGGGAGGGATTTAGAGAAAAGAGAGAGAGACGGGTGGACTAATCTCTCAAAGACATTCCACTCTCTCAAAGCGCACATCGCTCAATGTGCAGCGTGCAGGTTAAGGACTCACATTGGTCGTCTTTTTATAGTAGTCGATGTTATGGACGTCCCTGGCCAGGCCAAAGTCAGCGATCTTCATGACGTTGCTCTCTGTGACCAGGACGTTCCTGGCTGCCAGGTCTCTGTGTATACACTGGGATGGAGAGGGTGAGAAATGAGGGGGGAGGAAGAGAAAGAGGAAACAACAGAGGGGAGGTCAGAGAGTGGAAAAAGTGATGGGGAAGAGAATAAGACAGTTACCTCATTGCATAAATAAATCAACTCTGAAACAGGTGTATACTTCGTTTGGAATGGTGTTAAAATGTTTGTGGTGCATGTAATCATCCAGAAATCTCCTGCACAGAGGCATCACTTGACTGAATAACATGACGCCACAATGACTGCACCAACATGAACATGTCTGGATAAGTAAAGATTCCTCACATACTTTACCACATACTATATGGTCAGACTCTGTGCATCAGAGCGCATGTGCATGTATGTACATGCGTGTGTGCGTGTGTGTGTGTGTGTGTGTGTTCGTGTGTGTGTGTGTGTGCGTGTGAGACAGTATGCTCTGTCACATTCCAACAGTGAGAGGGAGCGTGATGCTGCGTTTGGCCAACATGGCCGTACCCCCATTGTGAAAACTTCACAATTCCTCTACACAGAGGGGCTTTTGTTGTGGAATGAGAGACAATGTGGGGATTGGGCAGGGGGTCAGAGTAGTGTTTTTAGGAGACAACATTCCCACAGTGACGCACAAGCAAGTTCCCTACGTAAAAAAAAAAAAAAAAAAAAAAAACCTTCCTGGATACGGCACATCAAACACTCTGTACTGGCACAGAGATCTGTCTGGGCAGCCAGCAGAGGGGAATTGATGTGAGGACAGGACATTGTGCGTGGTTGCATGCGTCCTCCTCTTACCTTCTGTGATGCTAGGTACTCCATGCCCCGTGCCACCTGGTAAGTGCAGGAGACCAGATCTTTGAAAGTGAGCTGCTCGTCCGAGACGCGGGCGATGTCGTAGGAGTACTCCATGCCGGGCGGCCGACGGGCTCGGAGGTACTCCCTCAGGTTGCCTTTGGAGGCGTACTCCACTATCACATAGAGCGGGCCTGCAGCAGAGAAAAGACTCACGTTACCTTTTGAACATGGTCATAAATGATTCCCTTTGAGAGGAAAAGGCACTGAACAAAATTCAAGGTGAATTTTTAATGGAATACATAAAGAACAGGCAGCTCTCATTTGAATGTTAAGACTTTAAATCTGCCACTTGCTTCAAGAGGAAAAAAGACACGAAGATGTCTGTGTGGAAAACAACTTCCAAATGACCGGACTCTCCCTGAGCTGCATCCGAGAATTTATGTACATTTCCAAAACTCATAAAAGTCCACGACAATTTTCATCAGGGATTGAACAGGTGTGCTTATGTGTGAAAAGAGGCATAAATGTATTTATTTTCATTCTTCATACAATATTGACTTCATGAATAGAAACTTCCTGGGTGCTCAGCTTTATCCATCTTCACATCCAATTAAAATCCAACCTCTACATATGACATACAAATGGTTTTTAGCTCCATCCAAAAAAGGCGGAACACCTTGGCCTCCACCGTCTGTCTGATGTTGTCTGATGACATATTTTATGAATTTTTTTTTGAAGCATGAAGCAACATTTGGTACAATATTTTACAGAGTTAACAAGGCAATTCATGCAGCATCATAAAAAGACAATACAGCATTAAATACATCTACGAACAATGAAATCTCCCAAGTGTATTATTGCAAAAACATCTGTGTATTCCGATTCCCTTCTTAAGGTGGTGCTGTTTGATGTTATGTCCCATGCTACTCACCGTCTTGTGTACAGGCCCCCAAAAGATTAATGATGTTCTTATGTTTGCCGATCATCTTCATCATCTCCATCTCTGACACCAGGTCAGACAGGTCTTTCTCGGTGGCGTCATCTAAGAACAGAAGAGGTTGGATTGAAAGTTGTCAGGAAAATCTCAGCAAAACAAACACACCACCAGTCCCGTCTTCTCTTTAACCCTTTGACTCAGGGGCTGCCCTCCCGCACAACACCTTGTTTTGTAGGCGCTTCTGATTAAGTGCGGCTGACAGACAATGTGGGCTAAAGTTACAGCAGCTAGGGAAGCTCCTCGCGCAGACTACAGAGGCATCCTTTCAGTGCCAGGGAGACGGAGGAGGAGGAATTAAAGATGCTCAATCTGGATTCATTATCTGCTGCACAGGCTCCTTTTACAGGGCACTGATTGAGCCAGTAGAGGTTTCCACGCAGTCGGAGTGGCATTGCCTGCATTCCTCTTCACCGTTACCTTACTTGGAGTCCTTCTAAAGAGCAGATTTCCATTGTCAAGGTAGGTCCAATAACCTGCTGCTGTACCTGATCTAAACCCCCCACCCCCCACCCCCCTCCCAATCCTAAACCAACCCGGTGCCCCCTCCTGCAGCTTTCATTAATCACTCCAGTGCTGCTTGTGTGACTTGCCTCTTTGTTTGGGTGCTGACTGAGCTCCAGCCAGCTGCTGCTCTGGGGTCAGGTATGTGACCGCCCCTAACCCTTACCTACCCAACTCGCCTCCCCTTAGCCGTCACTCAGCAGCCACCAATAACGAATAATAACGGCAGCCCCGGGCTCCGCCTTGCCCTTTGCTGAACCCTGACTGGAGCATAAATCACCTATAAAATGTACTCAGGTTGCCCACAAGACATAATGAAGCAGTGTACACCCCAGTGGTCTGATTTTAAACACAAGTCAGACGTTTACCATTACAACCTCACTGCGTTTGTGTACCGGCAGCAGACCCTCTTACCTTTCAGCATCTTGACGGCGACAGTTACAGCTTCCTTGGGTTTGTCCTTATCGATGCCCAGGGCCTCTGCCATTACAACTTGGCCGAAGCAGCCTTCACCTAGGGGCTTGCCCAGGGTCAACCTGCAAGAGGGAAACAAGAAGAAACAGACAGGAAGCTGATTAGCTGCTGAAACACTGAACCAAAACTAAAACTCATCGACCTGATCTGACTGCGGCGTCAATTCCGTCCCTGTGCAGAAATAAACAGGTTAGATAGAGTGTGAGACTGACAGAGGGAATGAAACCAGGCACCGCGCCAGTTTCTCAACCTCACCCTGTCTCTTTTTTTTTTTTTTTTTTTTTATACTAGATCGCTCTCTGTTTCAATCAGATTGTGTCTGTGTGAGTGCTTTATTGGCGCGGTGACTGCAGCCCGTGCCAGGGCAGTAGGTAGGAAGGCAGACATGGCAACGATAATCACCTGATAAAGCCAGGGAGAGGCACTCATTTCTAAACGGTTTACCCTGCCTTGGCATGTTCCAATATACACCCTTTACAAGTAATTACACAGGGCTTAGCATAGCGCCGACACATTAGCCTGTGATGGATCGTATGCTGGCTTTGTGTTGCCATACAGGTGGGTCCGACCACAATACCAAATGGAAATTTAAGCACTATTTTATTGTAAGCCGTGTCACAATAGCTGCTGTGTTAAACTTTACGTCCAAACATTACACATGTTGATATAGTGAAGAAATTATACTTATACACATGCTCTTTCACAGCTCCACCAGAGCCAGAGCACCTATCTGACCCCTCAACTAGTGTACCTTGTTGCTTTTTCATTAGATTGACAGGTGCTGGCCCCACCCCCTAAGACCCAGTTTCCTGGCTATGTAAAGAATCACACTGCGCACTGTAACACAATCCCCTATCTGTCCGCACACACTCGCCACGCTCAATGGCAACCATTCTGTCCATCCAGCCACACATAATCAATGTTATTTTTCCTCGGCGCAAACTGCAAACGTTAGCATTCCTCAGCGTTCTGCAATCCCGACATGATCCCTCAGGCGCTGGGATGACAGGCGGGGAATAAAGACCCAAACAGAGAGACACACAGAGACGTATTCAGCCTAGACAAAACATCTCCTTTCATCAATTAAAATCAAAACGTTTTCACCACAGTGTCATTCGGCATGCACAGTCCAGCATTACATCATAACAGTTTGTTTTTTTTTCGCTGATGAGTGATGGTTAAATTTATGATCCGCGCTCTTTTTTACAACCATTTTAACAAAAGACAGGCCTTTGTGTTTATGCTTTGGGATTTTCCCTTTTCTTTCAAAACCAAAGGCCTCAAGTGGGTATTAAACTACTCTAACCTTTGCTGTCCTATTAAATCCACCCTGAAGCTTATCACTGGCCGCTGCAACTGTGACTAACTGAAACCTCAGCAGTGCTAATTCCTCTGGTATGAAACTGAGCAAACACTCCTAGCCCAAACATGTAGATGAAAGCTGCGAGTGCTAACCACTAATTAGCACAGCTTCATTCCATAGCATCAGAAGCATGTGTGTGTGTGTGTGTGTGTGTGACTGTGTGTGAGTGAGAGTGTGATGTAGCAGCAGTTGTAATGATGAGGCAGGGGGCAGGGTGCCAAGTTCAGGTCATTTTACAGCAGCAGGAGATGAATCAGTAGCCTTTATCTCAGCCACCACAACCATTATTCACCAGTTAGGCATTATTGCCTGCTGCCTATCAGTGTTAATGGCACTCTCCAACAACAATAATAGTTATCTTATCATTTAGCTGCTAACATACAATCAAACAGATTGTATCATTGTTTTGTAATATTGGTGTTATCAAGTCCTGAACGGGACCCTTTAAGCCATAGATTCTTGTAGTGGCATTGAGAACAAGGGCCAAGAGGGTAGAGCTGATAGCTGTCAAACAGGTACTATATGTATGAGTGGGTTACTATGAATATCCTTTTTATATGAAAGTGGAACTGTGACGCTGATCAGCCTTTTAAAGGCTTTTTTATGCTTTATCCCGGAGCTGAATCAGATTTACATGCATGTTCATTTTGTGAAATGGTAAGAGTTGCAATAAGACAATACTGGCAGACAGGATGGACGATGGTCACAGGACAAAAGCGGCAAGTGATCATGTCCATAACAAACACACAGCCCTCACCTGTCTCGGGCAAACTCCCAGCGTGGATCCTCGGGAAGATCATACTCAGGGATTGGCTCGTCGTGCGCGGAGCTCCGCCGTGTTGTGATGCGTACCAGCGGCGTACTGGAGTTCATGGAAGAGCTTGAATCTGCCGACACCTACAGGAAGAAAAGCATTGGCTGATCACCGCAATCTGGGTTCATAGGTCGGCTAAAGCTCCAAGACATCACTAGAGGAGTCTGAGTAAATGTGTGTGTGACCGCGTATGTTTGACCGACTGTGGTGCTTTTATTGGAATCAAACAGCATTGTTGGCAAGTATGGCACATGGATATGTATATATCCATAATTTCAGTGACTGATGCTTTAACATTACTGTAGAGTCTGTCTCAAGGCCAGCGATGACATTTCAGTGATCATTAAGAAGTGAGCAACAACAGTAATGTTGACAAAATGCGTGTTAATCACTCGGCCTCGCCTCTGTCCCCGGGGCTCACCTCACCTCTCTCCACCCTAACCTTACCTTGACACAGGAATCAGTCTCTCCGCAGAATGTAATCCAACACTTTTTGTACCTTTTGGAGCGTTGAGGGAAAAGCATGGCTCACACACAGAAAAAAAAAAAAAAAGAAACTGGCTACAGTTTCAGGCAGCAGTGCTAACCTGCTCAGAAGTGCATACCTTCTAAATGAGGCTTGTTTAAAATACCACAACAGTATCTGCCATGGTGTGTGTATTTTTTGTATATAAAGTCCAAGTCTTAAGTATTTGCAAAAATGTATCAACAATGCAACTTTTATTATTCTTTTCAGCATGATCCTCTTATATTCATTTATGTAAATTATCCATAGTTTACTGTCTGTCATTGTATTTCTGCATCATGTCTGCAATGCAGTGTGTGTTTTTCTCCTCTAGGGGTGTTAGATGCCTTTAGAACTCTTTATCTACTTTCTGTTACCTGGCGGCGCAGAGGGATCTGCTTGCTCAGTTTGTGGACAGCTGGTTGGCCCCCAAAGTCCGGTTTCTTCGCAGTGTTCCTCATGCGGCACACCACCACGATGCCCACCATGCAGGCGATGAGGAAGACGCCCGCGCAGTAAATTGCAATCTCCACGTAGTCTGGGGAGAAGGGCCCTGGAGACTTCTCGAGGGCTGAGGAAAATAAAAGGGGGAGAAGTGAGACGGAGGCCAGGCGAGGAGAGTTAGAGGAAGACTCGCACTGATCACTCTCACACACATGTATGATTGACACAAAGGCACATTCTTCATTTGAACAGACACACATGGTTATCAGACAGGCACACGCAGAGACAGATGCTCAGGAGATGACTCATGCGTAAATGTAATCACGATCGGCAGGCAAACTAAACAGAAATGATTTTGTAGCATCCTCCTCTCTATCGTCTTTCCAGGGTACCAGCACGCCCACTTTTTTTTTTTTGTTGTTGTTTTTTATCTAACAGGCCTGTACAGGGCTTAATAGTCTCAACAGATTTTAAATCTTCACTCAGCCAGTACAACCAGGCCTGCATATGTCTGCATTCTGTGCTAATGTTGGAGACACGCGAGCACAAACACAAACACACACCCACGGCCGACAGAACAATATGCGCTTCACTTCAGATCGCAAACAAGGGAGAGTGGAGTCCTCCGTGGTTGTATATGGCCTGAACTTCCTGTTGAGGAAATGAGTAGAGTTTGTGTGCGTGTGTGCGTGTGTGTGTGCGCGTGTGTGTGTGCGCGTGCGTGCTATATAACTGGACTGTTCCATAATGCATAGCCCTCCAGACCACAAACTAGGCTCTTGTGCAGCACAGCCAGCGGAGCGGCCCGTCAGCCAACTGGAGGTGAAGCTACATGTGGGAACCTTTCTCCCGTCTGCCTCTTCGCATCTGCTGGTCCAAAAACCACAGCGAGCACACAGAAGCCACAGCCTCGATGGCGCCATCGGTGCACATAGAGCACATCGAGGGCAATAAATATTACATATTACTCCCAGAGGAAATGGCTGGCCTGTGATCATTATGCTGTATTGTTTACAGACAAAACTAAACTATTGTCTCATTACAACGTTACGGGAGGGTTCCTACCAGTTTTCTATCGAGGGCTCCAGACAGTCATCTACTCTCTAATCGATCTCATTTAATGCCCACCCTACTTTTGGCTCAAATTTGTCTGTTCAGCCTGGAGAGAACTTGTGCAGACAGTGACACTGAGTTTTATGTATTTGATCCTTTGGTATGCATGATTACCGCCCAGACACAGCAACTGACAAAAATAAGATAAAACAAGCTGATAAATGAGAACACACACAAATGGACAAACATTCGCATGCATGAGTCATTCGCTGTGTAGACTCTGAGAGGTTCGGCCCTGATAATTGAGAAAGTCGAGCCAACTCAAAGCAAGTGTTGAGCTTTACCTTTCGATCTTTATTTCAAGACGAAATAAGGATCTTAAAAGTGTGCAATTATCAGAGCCAGGAAAGGGGAGGGGAATAAGTTTGAGGCGTAAGTGAAACACATGTGAAAGAAAAATGGATTTCTTCGACATGCAGAACCAAAGTGTGGCACTGAGAGAGTTTTCCCCAAGGAGCAGGAGGGAGATGTAACAGAAGGCGGGAGACAAACCCTCCCCTGCCTCTGGAGTCTGGAGACACTCGAGCTGCTCTGGGAGCTCCACTTCCGTCTCATTATAAGAAGTCGTCTGCAAACTACCCCGTTATCTGCTCAGAGCTTTTAACAGCTTGCGAATCCAGATACTATTATAGAATATATGCTCCCCGCTCTTACGTTACACTGTCTTGGAAGTGGACCGTGCTGGTTCATCACAGTAATCTGATATTTGAGCAGTGAGGCCGTGGGAGGACTTGCCTTCCGTAGAGGTCATTGAAATGACATAAACTAACCATTTTATACAAGACTTGAGAAAAGAAAAAGGAAATAGGAAAAGAGAGGACAGTATACAAGTGTATATACCTGGAAGCACCGTCAACCAAGCAGTGTGATAGGAGATCCCAATAGAATTACCCGCCAAGCATGTATACTCCCCAGCATCTTCCACTGTTACATTGGGCAAGTAGAGAACTTCTATCTCCTTATCTGTGGTGTTAACGCCTGCGGTCTGGGAGAGAAGAAGAGGAGGAAGAGGAAGAGGAAGAGGAAGAGGAGGAGGTTGAAAAGAAAGAAAGAGAGTGTCGAAGATAAGAGTCACAGAGAAAGATGAGGGAGGACAGAGAGAGAGAGAGAGAGAGAGAGAGAGAAAAAATGAGACCCACAACACCAGGAGAGAAATAAAAGGAGCTGGATGGCGTCCATCGTGGAGGTCCCATCTAGAGGATGAAAGGATGTTGGGAGTTTCCATGGGTGAGGAGGAGGGGGTTTCATAAACAAAGACACAGATTGAGCCCAGTATGCCAGCAAAACATAGGAAAATTGAGCCAGTACACCAAAAAAACAAAACCCAAAAGGTTCCCGTCACCAACAGAACCTAAAGAGAAACCAGTCGAATCCACACATTGGACTGGACACATGCACAGACAAACACAGAGAGCATGGAGAGCACTGCGCTGCAACACCATACACCAACTTGACACAGCTTGCAAGACAGTAAGAGAAGTCTAAGTGAGAGATGCTAGCTGTGACAATGTCAGTGTCGACGTGTGCAGGTCTGAGCAGTGCTTCCAAGGCTGCACCGGTCTCAGCGGAGGGAGCAGCTGAAACACAAACGTGGAACATCAAGGGAAGAGAAGGTCTGTGAGCCCCAGGACCACCAAGAGACCACCAGCAGGACCACCACAGCACAGCAGGTCAGGGCCGAAGGCCAGGAAACCACAACAGGAAGGAGGGAGGGCAGATGGGGTCAGGTCTCAAGGGTTACCTGGGATGACAGTCAGCCAGCCCGACTGGTTGGCCTCGCCTATATAATTGGAGACTTTACAGATATACTCTCCAGCATCCTCCTCCGTCACGTTGGTGAGGGTGAGCATCTCCACGTCTGAGCTGTTAATGCCTGAACGCTGCAATCCACACACACACACATACTTAACACACATACTTAAAATACTTAGAATAAAGACAAATAAGCAGAATTAATCAGACAAACACGCAAACATCATGACAACAGCTACTGTATATGAATCTGCAGGGGAGAAGAGAGAGCAGGAGTCACCACCGAGAGCCAGCGTGGGAAAGACCTATCAGTTCATAAGGGAGGGAAAAAAATGATTACTTCCTCATATGAGCTTTTGAAATTCATCCGAAACACCTGGAACCCAGAACACACCAAGAGAAATAGAGGGAAGGACTTGCTTCTGATCAAGAGGATAAACCGTAAAAGAGGAAGTGCAGGAATGTACCTTTAGCACTCGGACGTAGGGGTGTCCATCGGGGCCGTAGCGACTGCCGTTCTGAGTGATGTGTTTGAGCCACTGGATGTGAGGTTGGGCGTCGCTGTAGACCTTACAGACGAAGCGGGCGTCCTCCCCGACATGAACAGTGGTGTTGGCCGGGAGACCGGCCTGGAGAATAGGCCGGTGAGGGGACCGTTCTGTCAAGAGTCAGGAAAATGTTTGTGTGAAAACTCAAAGTATAATATAAGATTTGAGGAGGCAACCGCACGAGTAATTTATCATCACTCAACGTAAATGTTCTCCGAAAGGGAAGTGTTTTAAAAAACTTTGGATTTCTCATATAGTCATATCTGACATTTTTCTAATGATGGTGCAAACCGTATGAGAGTTTATCTTTGCAAAAGCAGAACTTCACGTCCTGTGAGTGTAAACGTTTCCCAGAAAACCCTGACAGGTGAAAGCAGGACCGCGCTGTCTCTCTCTTATCTCTGAGGCATTTAAAGGCTTCGCACAAAACAAAGAGGTGGAGGCATTTATCTATGAAAGATAAAGAACTGGAGGAAATGGAGGAGGGCTTCCATGAAGTGGGGTGTATACTGTATATTGCATACCAGTGAGGCGGGTTGAGCGAAACTATGTGCCAGTCTTGAAAGTGAAACACCTTCGTAGCACCCCCACATCTCCAGCTATCTGCATTCTTTTACAAGCAAACATTTGGCCTGCGAATCCAAACAGAGCGAGACCTGTTGAACAATGCCCCCTTTCAAAACACTACCCGGCCTTCACAACCACACTGAGGAGCCCACCAACCCCCACACTGACAGCAACCACCCGCTGCCACCGCGCACACACACACACACACACACATACACACGCACACAAAATGACATCACTTAGCCTGGGGCGCTGCAGTGCCTTTCCAAAACAAAGCTTGAAGGTAAGTGCAGTGAATTCGTTTGTGCATGTGTGTGTGTGTGTCTAAGGTCGGTGGGGTGGGTCATGGGGGATGGTCAGAGGATGAGGTTGTGTGATGAAGGGTAGAGGTTGGGTTTGAGAAGAAGGACTAAAAAAGGGAGAAAGAATTAGGAGGGTGAGTGAAGGGAGTGAAGGGAGGAGAAAGGATCAACAGATGGAGAGTGCAGAAACTAGGAGGCAGAGACTTCTTCCATATGTCTGCCTGCCCGTCTTCCTCCTCCATCTTTCTGAAATCTGTCAGATCAGATGATTCCCACCCCTCCTTCCTCTCTCCCCATCTCCCTCCTCCTTCCTGCACATTCCTAGGGCTCGCCTTGTTTATTGTCTCTCTTTCTTTCCCCCCCTTTTTTCTCTACTCCTCCATCGTTCACAGGCCTTCTCACCCTCTTGATCTGTCCCAAACACTGTCGGTGCTCTCTTTGTAAAACCTTCCAAACAGAGAACATTTTGGTAAGGTATATATTTACTAAAACAGACAACTATTGAAGCTGCGTGGAAATTAACTCAATTGAGTCGATCATACAGAGAGAGAGGAACAAAGACCTTTTGGAGCTGCAACTTAAAAAAATCCACTTTCATTTTAACCTTCATTATTATAGTTGATCCAAATGTTAGCTGGACCAGTTAGAGCTGCATAGCTGACAACTCAGACCAAATGACAGAGTGGGTGTGTGGTGCGATTAAATAGGCCACATCATGGTTATGGAGAAACCCCAAAACAATAAAAGTTTGTGGAGCAATTCTTGCTTAAATTAAAAAAAGGAATATCGTGTGTGTGTGTGTGTGTGTGTGTGTGTGTGTGTGTGTGTGTGTGTGTGTGTGTGTGTGTGTGGGCCTGAGCAAGTGCAGAAGTTCTTTTATGGCCCGTCGACCTCACACAAAAAAGCTACACATAAGGAGGGAAAAACATGAAGGACGATGCAAAGACTTTGTCTGCAGCATGAGAGGAGGGAACGGTGACAGAGAAAGTCGACAGGTCTTGACTATGGTTTCCATGTATCGAACTGAATTAAAGAGTTGTCCCTGTGGTGCGTTTTTTTATTTTTTATGTTTTGCTGTGACCAATATGTAGTGACCCGTCTCTAAACTGAATCCATTTATCAATTAAGTCATTAGTGGAGTAATTTGATGGCAGCGGTGGTGGGATAGCGGCAGGAAGAAGCGTGAGGAGACAGACCGGGGGCATTCCATGGTGTCCCATGCGAGACCGGTGAACTCTGGGTAACCTGGCGGCTTGGCACACAAGGCCCTAAGGGTCAGGGAGGGGTACAGGCACAGGAAGGGCGCTGCGTGGTACAGGATGGCATGGGGCTACCAACAAAGTGCCGAATGGCCACTGGGTGCCACAGTTCTGATTGAAAGAGCCGATGTCTGTTTTGACTCCTCATTTGTCCCTCCTTGTCATGTGTGTCTGCTCATGGATGTCCAACTGTGGCTCTTTCTCCAGAGGCCAGTTTGAACCAGAAAAGGCTGGCTCCTCTTGCTTTTAATGGCTGATCCTGCAGGTCACTTGGGCAAAAACGACTGATAAGAACAGCCTTTTCTCTTTCTGTTTCCCCTCCTTTTCTCTGTCTTCCCCTCTCCTCCCTCTGTCCACCCCACTATAATGGAGGAAAATGAAGCAAGAGGTTTCCAGGGTGCAGTGGCTGTGGAGCCAGACGTGGAGGGGGTTTACTGCTCTGCAATAAAACAGAACAAAAAACAGAAATATGCAGTCTGAAGGAGAGCTTTAGCTAACTCCAGGGGGGAGCAGAGCAGGGGGCCTGTGTTGGGGAGCATGTGTGTGTGTGTGTGTGTGTGTGTGTGTGTGTGTGTGTGGACCTTCATGAGTTTGTGTGCATGTGCTTATATGTTCATTGTGCAAAAACCCTCAGGTATTCAATCTCCATCTGATAAAAGGAAAATAATACTCCTTATTACCATGGAGACACTAATGAAAACAGAAGTGTGTAATTACAGTTGGTCTGTTGGGGACAATGGAGACAGTCGGAGAATAATTCTACATACAGACACAGACTTCTTACGCCTGAAGTGACCAGTGGCTCCTAAATGTTTGTTTTCGACTCAAACTGCTGCAGCTGCATGTGTGTCCGGGTTATCTGTGGATTATTGACCAGCCTTTAGAAGAATAACTGTGTCAGATAAACTTTGATGTGTACTGATTGCTTGTGTAGTGGTTCGAGTGAGGCCAAAGGAGAGCAGGTCTGCATTGAATTAAGGGCAAAGTTGCCGCACACTCACTCACACAAACACACACACACACACACACACACACACACACACACACACACACACACGCGTGCGCACACATTGATCTACTATCTTTATCCCACTCCCCTTGTTGTCCCCACTGTCTATCGATTCTGCAAACCGAGCAGAAAAACACTCTTTGCTTTCTGTGCTCCAAAGGTCAAAGTGAGGGGTTGACTGAGTTGGATCTGAACTCGCCGCGATAGCGCTGAGGTCAGCACTCTGTGTCCTCAGAGAGTGACACTAAACGATCACCCGCTACCGATTTAAGTCCCCATCATATCAGAGCTGATATTAAAAGACTTGGTTAAACCAAATCACACACACATATACACAAAATAAAAGCATAATTTTCTACTTAAACCTTGTGGTATTGAGCCATGAAGATAATTTCTGTATTATTAGCCACGGTTGTGGTGCTGAAATCATGGAAAATTGCATTTGAGAAGCTGAACAACACTGCGTTTTTATTTACAGAAACAGTGTTGCTCAGGATATTGCACTGACTGCACTGTCAGCAATTTCCTAATGAAGTAATTCTCCAATAAAAAGCAGTCACACTGAAAAATAATTTTGTGATTTGGGTGAAATGATCCTTTAAATAGAAATGGAAAGTGTATGTTTTTAGTTTCTGGTATAATTGTTCTCACCTTCCTGGAGTTAAAATGGGTGGGATTTGTCTAACATAATATAATATATAACCTCATACACACACTATGAGTGAACATCATACACACACACTGCCATTATGAGAGGATGATTTTATATAATTAATAAAAACTGCATTAAAACTGATGACACATGCGTGTTTAGCTTCCACACACTTGGCAGCACTCTTTGGCCTGCACCTGCATCCAGTGTGCACCTGGGCAGTCAAACAGCACACGCTCACACATACACACCATTCTCACTGTGAGAACTCTTTCAGCTGGCCTCCCCTTTTCCTCCACCTCCCTCTCCCTCCATCCCCCAACTCCTCCTTTACCGGCCTCGCAGGTGTACTCTCAGTCTGACAGTCAGTGTTTTTTGTAAGCGGTACTGACCCACTACGTCCAAGGTGTACGTGTGGTTGATGGATCCGAACTCGTTCTCCACCAGACAGGTGTAGTTGCCCTTGTCCGACGGCACCACGCTCTCCATGATCAGGGTCCAGTGCTGGCTGCGCACCTGGGTATGAGAGGCAGGGGGTTTGTCGTTATGTTAAACACACACACACACACACACACACACACACACACACACACACCAGGAAATACAGAGAATTGCAGTCTTAACAGAGGAATTAACAAACACAAAGAAATGAGACAGATGATTTTTTTTTTTTTTAAATGACAGGAGGGGATTTGGTTCACAGAGTGAAAGACGAGATGCAGTGTGCTGGAAAACAATATTGAGTCTGATGACAGCCTGATTCCAGCAGAGTGACTGTGCAACGTCCAAGTATTTTCCTTATTCCTGCAAATAACGTCAAATCCTGGGGAAAATATCTCAATGTCTTTTAAATTGTTAGTTTTAAGTTGACTTTGATGAAGTGGAGCTGGTTGCAATTTTTTACAAAGGTAAAAATAAATTGCCAAATACACCCAGCACTTCCCTGTAACTGTGTGCTTCTCCCGTAAGTCACTGTATCTCTTATCCTGTAAAACCCCACCTGTCTAGTCTAGAGCACTTTCAAACACACAGTTATTCATAATTATTTGTAAAATTATCTTCACCTGTGTGTGGAATCCACAGGTGTGAGCTAACAATAGTGTTTCCGTCTCCAGACTGAAGGGAGAGTGTAGCTTCTGCTTGTACAGGCCTACATTTCTGACAATGGAGAGATTATGCCACAGGGCTGGGCTCAGGTACAGCTTTTGTCCAACATTTGTTGACAAAGAGAGAGAGAGAGAAATGAGCTGCCCACAGTGCATCTGACAGCCTGACTGTTTCGTTTCCGTCACGTCGCGGCTGTTTTTTGTCTGCGCTGTAATGAGCCTGCTGAAAGCCAAAGGGAAGCGACATTAGCGGCTACATCAACATAATCTGCTCCTAAACTTTCCTGGCAGGGAGACGTGTTTCCTCATAAACCATCAGGCATTAACCAGGAGCCGCAGACTCGTTCAGCATCACTGGATCTTTTCATAAATGAATTTCATAGCTGTCTGTTTAAGCGGTTATTCCACTCTGTCAGTACGCCTCTAGCATGTACAGTTAATGCTGCTTGTTTAGAAAGACAAAGAGAGGAATTAAGGCAAAATAAATGCAATCCAAACAGACTCTGTCACGGAGGAGGAATTCTTCACATTCAGACTAGTCGCAGCTATTTTCAGGCTTTTTTTTTTTTTTATACAAAGAGGAAATCAAACATAACCACACCACAGCTTTACTTTCCCATGACATTCAGTATCAGGTATTTTCACCACAAATAAATCAACTCAGACCGTTTATTTCCCAAAATGGGACCTGGGTGAGAGATTTCACAAGTTCAACAAAGTGTTTTTTTTTGTTGGAACCACAGCACTTTCTATAGAAAGTCATACTCATTTAAGTTGGCAAGGAATTAAAGTGACCAAAGTTATCTTCACTCTGGTCCTCCTTTCCAAAAATTTGTGACTTTATTGGAGTTCATTTATAGAGTTAAAAGCCGCACAGCACATCAAGCCCCTTCAGTTTAAACTTTAACCAGAGCAGCAATAGTATTTGTAAATCACATTTCAAAACAACAGAATCACATGCTCGAATCACACACTACTCTCCAAGCAAAGCCAGTGGGACCTGTTCTCCCTGATTGAGTTACCTCAGCATTCTCAACTCATTTCAACCCTGACGCTACCTACTTTTTCTATACATTACTGTTTGGGGGCATTTAACCCTTAAGTCCAGGGCTTAGGTTTCTAATTGTTGGGGGTAAAGAACCATTTCGAGTTACAGTGAGAGGCTCTGCAAAGTATCCTGGTGAGAGGAGGCGCACGGATGAGCAATTCCAATTTCACACCAGAAACCTTGCCCTCGTTTCCTCTGTCTACTCTCCTCCCGTCTCTCCAGTGAAGGGTGGAAAAGGGGTGAAAGGACAGTCAGAGAATGACTGCAAGAGGGAGGCTTGACGTCCCTTGTAAATACATACACGAAATGGCCAGAAACACTGCAGCACAGAAAGCAGTAAAACGCAAGAGAAGGCAGTGAGTTGACATTTGTAATAAAAAGTCTGATGTATTACTGTTTATCCTACCTTATACCCTCCCATGCGGTCCTCTTGCCGGAAAGGCCTGCTGTTTTTAAGCCAGCGCAGCTTGGGCCGGGGGTTGCCTCCTGCAGCACAGCGGAACTTGACTGTGTTGGCAGCTGGCACTGCATGCAGCTTCTTCTCCATCTTTGCGGACGAGGTCCAATACGGAGCGCCTACAACCAGAGAACAGTTGGTGTTCAGTCGGGGTGAGATTTCCTAATCATGTCCTCAACAGTTTGGCTTCAGGACCTTGGACTGGCTGAGGCAGATATACTTGGAAGCGTGACTGCAGAGGAGCCAAACCTGAACCATTCTTAACACCCCCCCACCCCCATCCCACCCTGCCCCAGCAGCACTGACTGACCTGCCGTCTGCATAACACAACCCAGAGCTCCACACTCAAACAGTTAAATAAAAACACACACTTTTCCCTGTAGGCTCAGCGGGGTGTTGCAGAGGGGGGAAAAACATCAGCTCTAAGGGGAGAATGTGCCTGGGCGTTGCCAAGAGGGTAACTAGACCATCACATTCAATTTCATCTCATTCCACTTAGCAGCTTTTTTTCTCCCTCCACTTCCTCCAATTACCATAGCTCCCCTGTTTATCTGCCTGTCACTTGGCTAGATATGGACGGCAGGGCCAGGGATGCTTATCACCCCTTGGAAAATAATTATGTGCCGTCAGGGGAGAAAATGAATGTCACGTTTAACAAACGATTCCAGAGTTGTCAACGCAGACTTTCATCCAGCTTTATCAACGCTTAACTGTTACCATTTCTCCTACTGAAACCACCTTTCTTGTGTTTTGTCCATTCCCCGGTTCCCTCTTTTTCTCCCAATTTCTGAGTCTCAGTCAGCTGGATTTTCTTCCGAGCCCCCCACCCGCCCTTTCTCTCTGCACCTGGAAGTGTGATTGCCTAAGCAGATGGGGCTCAGAGGGGAAGAGAAACTCAAACAACAACCCAAACGGTTTTCCCAACCATCACTTTCTCTCTGTATAGCACGAGTATGAGCAACACAGGGAATTCCCATGGATAAGACCGCAACTCACTTTAGTACGACCCTCAAGCATGAGTTTACATCCCAGGGGGATCTCTGCTTCAAGTGCCCTCCCTCGAATCTCTTTCCAGTCTGTCCAATCTGCATACTATTAGACACCTCCCATCATTTTCTCTGGAACGCACAACCGGACAAGTCGTGCATACTTGGATAGTAAAGTCAGTAAACAGTGCTCTTCCTTCCTGAATGGATGCATACGTTAAGTACTCAAACTATAATTAGTCATCCCCCCTTTCTCCTTCTTCCTCACTCTCACTATCTGCGCTTCTCTTCCTGCTTCTTCACCTCTCAGTCCCCTCCATTCCTCTCCATCCACTCTCCCTGTCATCACTCCATCCGTTCAGACAGAGACAGATTAGGTGGAGACTGGCTCGTCTTCTCCGAAACGACCTCTGACCCCAAACTGGCAGCCAGGTTGGAGGATGAGGTTGGGACATGAAAGGTGAGCGGTGCTGTTTCCCATGCTCTCCGTCCGGAGGGGCAGCACTTCAAACGAGACGACCCTCAGACCTCTCTCCAGATGAAGCCAAACTCTCACTGGTCCAACTGCTGTGGCCTCCAGGAACCCCCGCCACCCCCAAAGCCCCGTGCATCCGGATCCCCACTCACGGCTGTTTATCCTAAGCTGGCCTGGGGTGAGCTGAGGTTATCTAACCCCTGTGCTATGAGTCAAGATTTTTTTCCTCTAAGTTCCTCCGGAGAGCTAAATCCACCAGTGTCCCAAAGTAGTTTTTCATTGTTGAAATGATTTCTAGTTAAGCAGTGATATCCTCCTCTTCACTACTGGTCCTCTTGATGGTATTGGTCCTCTTGAAACAGTCTTACTGTTAGTTAAGAGAAACACCCTTGTTTTCAGATTTGTCACAGTGCATTTTTAGCTAATTTAAAAAGTCACCAGATTTGGAGATAAATGATCTTTGAACAGTGGAGCTATGATACATAATAGGATAGAATAGGATAATAAGAGTGTTTATGGCCCTTCAGCATAAGCAAACAACCCCACAGCTATAATCAGATTTTGAATCGAGTTGAGCTAAATCCTGATTGGTTTATAGAAATGTGTGACATCAACTTTTTTCCTCTTCCAGTTGAGCCCCACCCACTTCAAGCTAATAAAACTGACATCAGACAAAATAAAAACGCTAAAATCTCTCTGTTGACAGTTCATGTTCATGCAGGACCCCATCACACTCCGTAAGACGCTGGTTGATTAAACAGGTTTTCCAGGCCTTTAAAATATTTTTTTACGTCATGATTTTTATTCAGACTATCTTGACTTTCCTTCTTGTAACCATACAACTTTATGTCATCCAAATTTTAATTTTTTCTACAAAGTATGACTTCACCCTCATAATGTAATATTTTTCTCATAAACTTACAGCTGTTCTTTATACTTTTTTCAAAATATTGTGACTTTAATTTAGAAATCTCTAATTTCTTTTCCAACAGTGGACATAATCTGCAATTTAAAGCTGCACACTGAGGGCCCCAAATAATGTTTATTATTTAAATTGATTTTTGCACTTGCATAGCCATAACAACATATAACAGGACTGCTTTAATTATGACAGTGAGGTAGATCTATTCTGACATGTGCAGCTTTATCTAAAGGTGAGGCACGTTGACAATGAAGAATGATGTTAACAGTGAGTCAACAGGACAGGGATTTTGTAACGAGAGGACTCGACGCAGAAAGCAAAGCTCCACGTGGCTCTTCATCATGACATCAGCACTACCCCCCTCCGCCTACCCACCTTCACCCTTCCCCTAAACACAGCTTCCCTCACAGATCCCAGTAGAGGCTCTTCCATGTCTCCTCCAATAACACCACCCACTGCTGACGATGGACAAACACGCTGGACTCTCTCCCTTTTCAACTTTTTTCACCCACTTATGTTGTTCACTCTTCTACACAAAGTCAAATCAGAACGCTCTGGGCCTGATGCCCGGCCCATTCTGAGTGCTCCAGAAGAAAAGAGAAAAAAAATTAAAAAAGCCACAAATATAAAGCTACACCCCGCACTCTCCGCTCTCATTCCCTCCCACGCCTACATGCACCCTCCCTCCCTCCAGTCTTCGGCTCAGGGCCAAGGCTCCACGCCATGCTCGGAGAAGTGCTGGTGCTGATCCAACAAGCCTCCCCTCCTCCCTCTGCCTCTTTTCCTTCTCCTCTTCTTCCCCATTTCTTTTAATAATAATTTCGGTTTTTAAAATTTTCAAAAAATACACACAGTGAGAAAATGCGCCTGTACAGCCAGAACAGCTTTCCCTTTGTTTTCAAACAGCTTATTACCACCAGAATGGCTGGATCTTTTCCCTCTCCCCCATTTTTTCCTCTTGCTGAGTTCCTCTCTCTCCCCCCATATTTAATGGATTTCAGGCAATTACAGTCAGCCCAAAAGTGGAGGGGGAGGACTCACGGTGAGACGCAATGTGTGTGGAGAATTTTAACAAGATGTGGAAACCCTCATCTTTACTTCAGCCCCCTTTTTTGTGAGTGTATGTGTATGTGAATGCATGCACGTGTGCACGTGGCTACATAAACACACTACTACCCCAACGCATAGACAAAACTAGGGTAAAACTTTCTCTTTCCCTCTCTCTCACACACACACACGCATGCACACACACACACAGGCCCATCAGGTGGGTAACTTGGTCCAGATGGGTGTCTTTCATAATGGATGAGTCCAGCTGACTGACTGGCTCCATGAGGCCCGACTACCTGAGAGACACTAGCTGAAGGAATGTCAGGAATCCCTGTATTCCCTCGAGCATGTAGCCTGGGAGACACACACACACACACACACACACACACACACACACACACACACACACACACACACACACACACACACACACACACACACACACGCACACGCACACACTTTACAACACACACTCCACAATCTCACAGTAAAGGTCTAGACAGATATGCCAAGGTATAGAATAGCAGAGATGTGGATCCAGGGAAGAGTTGACGTGAATTTTGGTGTCACTAACAGCCGTCTCCTCCTGATTGTGTGAGAATAGAGACTATCCGCTTTCTCTCCTGCCTTAATCATAAACATACAGCCACAGTCCGAACTGGGCTAATAACCACTGACAAAGCTAAGTAGATTATTTTGCCGAGGGATTAAGTCTTTGTAAGTGTTTAGCTGTTAAATTCTGACATGCTGCTAATGACTGTTCATTATTTTTTCAGACCAGGATATGGCTTAAACCAGATATGCTACTAAAAAATGTTTTTGCCATGTCCAAACTGTGTAGTATGACGTCTCTGCTGTTCCCACTGAGATCTAATTAGTGCGAGTTGGTGAGGACGGACAGAGCATCACAAGTCATTCATCCCTCCTTTCGTTCCTCCCATACTCACTTATCTGCTCCCCGTCCGCCCCAGTGTCCTCCGATCGCTCCGTATCGTCCTCATCATCCCCCGATGAGATGGCATCTGCACAGAGTAACCACTGAGTTACTGCCGCCCTCTCGCAACGCGCAAACACACACACACATACACATAGTTTTGCATGCAGAAGCTTTCATGCTGTCACGTTCTCACAAATTTGCACACACAAATTTGTAAAGAAAATGAGAGAGTGGGGCCACTTTTTGTTATGAGCACATAATTATACAAACAGACACTCACTAGACCTTCAGAAAGAACTAAATTCAGGATGGCTTCCTGGATACAGTGCTACAGCTCCAAACTCCCTGTCCCATCCTGACTTGCTCTGTTCTGTCCTATCTGATCCCTGACTCACCTGTGACATTCACTATGAAGCAGACCGTGTCTTTGCCCACGCTGGTGCAGGCGTACAGGCCCGAATCCTTGGGCGTGGCATCACGGATCTGCAGCACCTCCTGCTCTATCAGCGTGCGGTTGTTGGTGCCCAGAGAGCTGCCATCTTTGGTCCAGGTGATGGTCCCCGGCGATGGCAGAGGGCAGCTCAGCTTCAGCACCTCCCCTGGGTGCACTGAGCACACCGTGGGCTTAGAAATTTGGTATTTGTTCGATGCCTCTGCAGAGCGAATGGGGAGGTTGAAGTAAGGAGGGGGGAAAGGAGGGAAAGGACGGATTGGAGGAGGAAGAGGGTGCACAAGAAGGAGGAAAGAGAGGTGGGAGAGGAAACAAGCCATAGTGTAAGAAACAAAAACACCATATAACCCCAAATGGATGCACTTAAATCAACTTATGCAGGAGGAGCAATACAGAAAAGAGGAGGCCCATTTTTTTTTTTTTTTTTAAAACCGTCACACCAACATGTTGTTACCGCAAACTCCCAGTCAGTCATTTGGAATGGAGCCCTTAGAAAATACCACTGTTCTGTTATCAAGTGTGCAGTGTGATCGGTGCTTATAGATTCAGGGCATGCAGTTACGGCCAGAGCAGCATATGTAGAGAAAAAAAAAACACAATCGATGCTTTGCGAGCTGTGTTGACAGACAACCCCACCCCCCACAACCATCCCTCCCTTTTAGCATGGATGCCAAGCAGCCGTTGTGTGTGGGTGAGTAGGAGCAGTATAGGCAGATCTCTTCAGCTTAAAAAAAAAAAAGGTAATAAAACTCCGGCACGTCTGCCCATCAGAAAGGAAAGCAGCCAGAAAGGTCCAGGACGGAAGCAGTTGTCAGGCAGGGGAAGGGGGAAGGAGAGGGAGGGGGGAGCTCTCTGTTTTGGCTTCTCTCTGGTTTTTGACTCTGCGCCTAAGCTTCGAAAACCTTGACCTGTCTGTAGACTGACTCTTCTGTTTTCCATCGCTCTCGTCTTCATTTTCTTTCATAACACGGCCATGGAGGAGCTACAACCCCGGCACAGGCTCTGCTCGCCAAGGCAGAGAGCAAGAAACTCCGCTAGACTCCAAAGTGCATAAAACCTTCACTTCTGGGAGAAAATCCAAGTCAGCCTGTGAGTGCATGTGTGTACACCCTGTCCTCTGACTTGTACAACAGCACAGAGAGAATGAGGTGAATTTCTAATGTATGAAAGCGAATTTTGATTGTCCATAGGTGAGACTGCACTTCTACATCAGGACGGATTTTGTCGGTAACCATGCAAACTATAGACTGTGATCGAATGTTGAGCAAAAGGGGGGAAAACCTGCCTGAAATACAAGCTGGCTTCTGCTATATATACCACAGCCAATTCCAGTCACCCCGAGGCACACATACACACACACATACATACACACACACATACACACACACAAATGTGTACATTCACTCATCTCAAACGTAGACAGATCTCAACACGTTTTGCAACTATTCGCGGTGAGAAAAAAATTGAAGAAACTCCAAGTTTTCCTCTTTATTGCAGTACAAAAATGTCCAAGACTGTGTGTGAGTGTGAGTGTGAGTGTGAGTGTGAGTGTGAGTGTGAGTGTGTGTGTGTGTGTGCGTGTGTGTTTTCTTCAGAGGGAACTGAAGGAGTGGGTCAAAAAAAGAGAGGGATTAAAAAGATTTGAGCAGGAAAAATAGCAACAGTGGAAAAGCATAAGTGATGAAGTATATGTGGAGCGCTGGGCTGAAGGCTGATAGGTGTAATTATAGAGGCAGTGGCACTCCCAGCCTTTCCTGTACCTCAATGCACCTTTTCAACAACATCCCACCCCCATTATGTGCTGCTGCTCGATGTGTGTGTGTGTGTTTGTGTGTGTGTGTGTGTGTTGAACGTAAAGTGTACATACACACTAGCCTCAACAGGAAGGGAAAGTCATTCCGCCACATGCCAGCAGTAGAGGCATGTGTACAAGCCTCTAAAACAATCCCCCTGGGCAAAAAGACAAACACACAGGTACAGTTCCTGTATTGTCCTATTTTCTCTCTCTCTCTCTCTCTCTCTCTCTCTCTCTCTCTCTCTCTCTCTCTCTCTCTCTCTCTCTCTTTCCTTCAATCCAGAAATAATTAACCCCTCCCTCACCGCCCAGGACTGAGTGTGTGGTCTGATAAGAGGTGGAGCTCCTGTGCTGATTGATGGGAGCCGTCTCCGCTACCTTTTATGACATGGTTTTCCGCACCGCAGGCCTTCGCTTTGACATTATTAGTGGCTCCAGCTTTTCCTTTATTGTTTATTGTTTAATTTAGGATTTCAGAGATTAAGAGATGTCTTATACTGTAGGTACCTGCTGGGGAAGCTAGCCGGTATGGACAACTTCAATGTATATAGGGCCCACTGAAAGGGGCTGACGAAGCAACACAACACCACGTACGTACACACACACACAGGCTGCACTGTCTGTCAGCACATCGAAGGCACTGAGGTACTTGATAGAAAGATGATATACACTACAAGGAGGGGTCTGAGGAAGAAGGAGATATGGAAGGAGGGAAAATAAGTACAAAGGAAAGGAAAGGAAGAAAGGCAATGGAAAAAAAATAAAAAGGAGAGGACTCTCTCTCCAAATGGTGAATCTGATTAAAGAAAGCATGGACGTGTTAGTTCTGCCTTCATCATTTTCTTATCTCTACTGTGTCCATCTGTTCTCCTCCATCAACTCCTCCTCCTCCTCCTCCTGCTGCTCCTTCATTTCCCTCTTTCACCTCCCCGTCCGCTTTGCCCTCTCCTTCCCCCTTCCGACACAACCCCCACCCTGCTGACCTAACCCTGACCCTTCCCAAACCTGTTGACACCTCCAGCAGGCCTGATTGCTCATGGGAACCCGTGTCATTTAAAGCATACACACACACACACACACACACTGAAAAAGTACAGGTATGGAGTTACACCATAATAAAATCATGTACTATACTCGTGCACACCTGGAGATACACACACAACCCACACACAAACACACCTTACTCTACTTGGAAAGAGTTTACAAGAGTCCAGGGATGCATGCTGAGTTGAAGAGTTGAAACACTTCACTGCAGATTTTTCATCTCTGCAAAGTTTCATCCCCCTCTGCACCACAGGAGGGGGCGGGAGGCTCTCTATCTCTCACTCTCACTCTCACACACACACACACACACACACACGTTTGCTCAATTTCAATCGACCAGCTCTCTCCTCTTCCCTCCCTCCTTCATCACCATCCTTTTGCCTCTCTCCTCCTGAAGCACATCTCCATTTCAAAACCTATCTCTCTCTTCTTCTCTGACAGCTATTACAAGTGTCTATCAGGTGTGATAGATCGAGGCTGTCCACTCCTCGCTATCTCTCCGTCCTCATTCACACTGTCTTGTCTGGCAATAATTAGTCTCGCAGCCTGAGAGTCTGCAGCAAAATGCGGCAATTCTCACCGATGTCTCCTCGACGTCTGTCTCTATCAAATCGTGGAGAACCAAGCAGCGGCGTTGGTGAAGTCGCGAGCGCTGAGTTTTACGTTGGCCCTGAAGTCTTTCTTACGAAAATAATCTTATGAATTTAAATCTGCAGAGAGGCGCATGTGGCTGCAAGTCTATTCTGCCATCTCCTCCCTGTCGCGTTCTGCACGACGGGATAGGTGGACTACATGTAATGACTGCCATCTCAGAGGCGAAAAGCTCCAGCAGGAATACATACACACACACACACACACACACACACAGACACACACACACAATCTATCTCTGCTGCCCTTCTTCTCCCTCCTTTTTATCTCTCCTCTGTCCTCTGTATCCTCCTCAAATCTCATGACTTCTCTCCCCTTTTTTGTCTCTCCCTCTTTTCTCGTGTCCTTTCACATTTAAATCCCTCCTTAGCTTTTTTTTTTTTTTTATTCTGACAAAGGAGCAGCTCTATGAACTGGCTCCTGCTGGCGTCCATGGCAACAGCCCCTCCGGTGCTCCCACCCCTTCACCCCTAATCAAGGCATTCCCTGAACCCCACCCGACCCCTTTAACCCACTGGCTCCCCCTTATCTCCCAAAACCTTTTAAGGTTGAAGCTCTTGTGACCCTTGGAGCAGAGCCTGCCTCTACTTTGCTCTGGCTTCTAGAGATTAATCTTCAATACTGAATCAGATGAGTGTGTACACTAAGCCTGCAACTACAGATTAACTAGAAAAACTATCGGTGAATCTGCCAATCATTTTTTCAATCAATCATTTAGACTATGGACTGTCAAAAAAAACAAAATCAGGTCTCAGGGGGACGTCTTCAAACTTAAAAAGATTCAGTTTAGGGATCAACTGATTATTTAAACTGCTGTTGATTGTTTTTTCTGCTGATAACTAATCGTCTGATTGTTTCAGCTCTAACGTACACATTTACATTGTAAGCAGCAGTTGTTTTTCTTTCCAGAAAAGTGAGCAGGCAGGAAGTTCAGTGCCAGGCACAGAAACACATTAAAGATGATATAAGGAATCAAATCTGTGACCTTTAAAATCCATCATCAACTACTCAAAAAAATATATATATATACATATACACTTTAATATAGGTGCAACTATCTTATTTTATTCTTATCCAGAATTCGACAAGAAATTCCTTTAAACAGTAAAAAAAAAAAAAAATTCTTTTTTTAGGAAATTGCATCATTATTTTTGCATCAGAGTCTAGTCGTCAAATCTATTTTTTTCCTGCTCTCTGTCCCTGTTGGCTCAGATTCCTCTCTGCCTCCTGCCTGAGACCTGAGGCACAGGCTCGCACAGGTAGCAGCTCTACTCAGCCTCTTATCAGACAGGTGTGAGATTGAGCGGTAGAGTGACAAGGTATTTTCTGGAACAACAGCCAAGCCAAATAACAGTCCATTCACTCACACACACACACACACACACACACACACACACACACACACAACCACCAACACACTCGAACCTCCAAGATCAACACCAGCCAAAGGCAGGCTAATAAAAGTCATTGTGTGAAGGCCATATATTCAGCCCAACTGCCCCCTGGCCACACCACCGGCCGACACACTGCGTTTGTTTAGAGTTCAGTTCCATTGCCATCGCCACAGTCACACACACACACTCCGTGTCATTAACCGGCAAGCTGACACTTTTACACTTTTACAGCTGCACTCCTACTGTGTAGATAGCACAGTGTTACACAAACTGTACTGCAACTCCTTGACATTCCCACCTTCACACACACAAACACACACTGATATATAACTGCCAACAGCTTACTGAAAACAATCATCGTAACTGTTAATACAATAAACAGCCAGTTTAACATAAGGTGACTATGTATCTCATTAAATAAAGTACATGTGCTGAATATAGAAATGTGCCAAGAGAGCAAATAAATTCTTACTGTGCCCAGAAACTATTCAAGAAACAAAGTGTGTCTTTTGCTGACAAGCAGCCCTCCTCCTCTAGTCTCTGTCTGAGCATGAAAGACTCATCCTTAATACATAATGTAGCCTTTATTTATTTAACTATTTTGACGTGTTTGCCACAATGCTGATCAGAGCTCTTTTGTGGAGGACAGAGTCTGGCAGGGATTCACAGGAAAGTACAGCCAAACCATGAGCTGACTTCTGTCAGCTGCGCTCACATTCAGCCTGCGTTCCAGTGTGCCTGGTGCCACATTTATTCCACATTATACTGTATGCAAAGTGGGGACCAAGCAGACCACAAAGCACAGAGCTGAGAATACCAATGTTAAAGACCCACATACACATACACACCTCCTGTGTTTGGTGCCATTGTTATCAGCTCAGTCAGAGTATTTTAATCACTGTGGAAATGGAGAACGCCTGGACAAGGTAAACACTCCCATAGATACTCAAGTGGCTACAGCGACAACAATAGGCCTGTTGTGGAGACCTTAACCTGCGCGCTCGCTCTACTTCTACTGTTACAGCAGCCACAGGTAAACAAACTCGCAGGGCCACCAGGGGTGCAGGCGTGGGCTCTATAGAGACAACATTGATATACAATCTGATGAATCTACAGCAATTACTGTTCCCTCCCACACACACACACACACACACACACACACACACACACACACACACACACAGGCAGCGGCATGACCGAGGCTGCAGGGCAGAGGGGGTTGGAAATCCTAAAGATCTCTGTGGGGGGGGGGTGTTATTAGGACAGAGAGGGTGGGTCCGACCAGTCCGTCTCCTTAAACATCTGTGCCCTACAGGTGACAGCAGTGCAGCCCAACAGGAGTAGCCAACAGAAGCTGAAGCTGTGGACACGCTGATTCAATCACACACAGCTGCGGTTTAAAAAAAAAAAAACTGTTTGCCATGTGCAGCAGGGAAACTGATTTACCGATTCAGGATCAGACAAGCAGGCAAGGTTTCTCTGTGCCCTGTTGATCCCTCATCATGTGACCCCCAGGTCTAGCCACTTAATCTCCAGTCACATGACTTCACCGCTGCCCGGTGCTCTGTAATCTCTCCATCTAAAGGAGAAGTCAAATATGCGCAAATCCTCTTAGAACTTTCCTGGAGGATTGTATAACTCTGGAAAACTCTCCCTTGTCTCCTTTTCTCTCTGTGGCCATGTAGCGCAGCGTCCGGGCCACATGGGGCTCTGAACACACCGGCTTGGAGCCAAACAGTCTGAGACAGAACAACAAAAACAACAACTGGAGAGGAGAGCTCAGGCAGCCTCTCATCAAGGTGGGTAACAATGATACCTGACCCCGAGGGCAAAGGGCAAGACAAGGTGCAAAGTGTGTGTATGTGTGTGTAGAGACACAGGGAGATGGGGGAGGTGGCTTAAAAAAGTGATGCTCTGTTGTTGGCCTAACTTACAATTAGTATGCTGATTAAAGCCCAGGAACAAAAGGCTTTGGAATGCGAGTTACCATCCATCACAACAACTCTAATTAGCTCGTCTCTGACCAGACTCCGGGACTGGAGACACAAAATAGAGAGACCTCAAAAGAAAAAAAAAAAAAACAAAAGGATTTTTCTCAGAAGTGAACTGTTTTGCCAATAAAAAAAATATGACTTTAAAATATTATCATTCACAAACTTAGGAGAAAATGGAGCGTGGGCTGTTGTGGCTCGAAGAACCAAAGCAAAGCTCTGTATCTTCATTTTCTCCCTTTCCCTCCCTCTTTTCTGCTTCTTTCCAGTCAAACACGGCATTAGAGAAATGCCAGCATAAACACTGTCCCCACCCTCCTACACAGCCCCCCAACTCCCCCCCAAAAAAACCTGCCTTTAACACTCAGGTCTACCCTGAACTACCACAGACATCAGAAAAGACAAATAAAACAAAAAAGGTGTGAATCACATGCCTCAGTGAGGAAGACAAGAGGCTCAGCCTTGACGAGGTTAGTTGTCTCCCTTCTGTTTATTTATTCTAATCCCCACAAAATCTTACACCCACTCCTTTCTTTCAAGGCTACTTGTTATATTTTTAGAGAGGTTTAATCGGAGAGAGAGGGGCTCAAAATCCTGGTTTTCTCTGCAGGAAAGTTCAAATACTAATAGGAAACAGTGAACCTTCAAATCTATAAAATGTATAGATTGTTAAACCATGTTATTTTGTTACTGATCTTTCTTTAAATGGGTGAAGTCTAAATATTCCTCATTTAGCAGGAGGTCCATCAGGATTTTTATCCACTCATGTTAAGTTAGTTAAAGACAACGATTATAAAGAAAGGATACAAAAGCCAACCAAAACTCTAAAGTCAGATTTAAGGAGGTAAACAAATTTGACAGACCTACACCTGCTCTCTAAAAACAAACCCAACAAATGCTCCCCCCCCCCCTCCTGCTTTCCCCTTCCCGTCCCCCCCTGCTGCTTACCTTCAGGTTCCAGAGTGGCCTCCTCATCCTTGGTGGCGGTGAGGGGCGGCCGGGCCACGCTGACGGTCAGCAGGGACAGCAGGACAGCGGCCAGCAGCCAGGCCCACGAGGCCATCCCGTTAGTGGGGGCCAGCGCTCCCCATACCCCCCTTCTCCACCTCCCCCTGGACACTGATCCCATCTGAGGGAGTCCGCCCAACCATCAACTGCAGCCGGGTCGGCCTGTCACTCACTGGAATTCACCCAATCACCTGGGCTGAGAGGTGGAAGACAAGAGAGACGAAAGGAGGAAAGGAAGGTGGTGGTGGAGCGATGAGTGGAGAGGAGGACAGAAATGTGAACAGAGAGGCGATAGAGGAGGGAGAGAGAAAAAAAGAAAATTAATCAGGGTGGAATAATTACTCTAATTCAAAGAACTTGTTTCTGCACCATTTTCCCCTAACTTTGTTTTTGACAAAGTGAGACAGAAAATTGAAGCAACAGAGACAGAGTGTTTCACAATGCTGTCAAACAAGCCATGCCACAGACATACCGAAGCTGTGAGGCACCAGCACTCAACACACAACCACCCTGCATCTACCTTTACTTCTAATCTGTAATTATGTGCATTGAAATATGTTTTAGAGAAACCAATTCAGACTCATTCTACCTCTGTGAGGCTTCACAACCACAGTCTAACAAGTCTGATGTTCTACTGAGTCACACACAACTGCATGTGGTTCAGAGATCAGACTTATTCCAACTTTATTCAAATGTGATTTCTCACAGATTTAACATTATCTCATTTAACCACGCTGCCCCCCCCTCCCCCCCCCCCCCTTCAAATTAATAATACAATCTATTCTTAACAGATGAGTTATTGAATAACAGTACAGACAACAGATCAGCCAATGTGGCACCGATTTCGTTGAGCTGGACATCGTTTATTCCCGGACGCAACAGATGCGTCAAACCTGTTGCCCGCGCTGCTGCTGCAGTCGTGTTAATTGTATTCATACGGGGCTTTTATTGCATTTTCGTGACTTGATTATGAGACCAGTAAGGCTTAAATTGAAACGCAATATTGCAATATTGGGACACTATACCACACACACACACACACACACACACACACACACACACACACACACACACACACACACACACACACACACACAGATCTGGTTTGCCAGACATCTGCGGTTCAACCGAGCTGAAGCGTCTCTGGAGGTTTGGTGAAGTCACGCTTCCATGCGCCCCTTCTGCTCCAGCTGGACGTATCGATTGGTTTTACCCGCAAAGACACATGTAATTTGACTTTTAGAGAGCGGATCTGAAAACGTGCGCATCCTGGTTTTTCTTTAAGTCACCCCTCGGGGGGCTACACGGGACACAGACGGTGGACGCGCACATGATGTCGGGGTGAACCCAAGAGAATCCCGACGTCCTTAACTTTATTAGAGAAACGCACAGGTTTGATTTTGCAATTAAGGGGAACTAAATCTGCCTCGTGACAGCTCAGATATATGAATTATTAATGGATTGTAAACCAGTCAATGCACCAATCAGCCTGTGGGATTACCGCGGTCTGAAAACTCCAGCAGGACGAAACGAGAGCAGAATTACCCAGAAACCTCCACTGGTTTTTACATCATTTATAAGTGTGTAATGTCTGCAGCACAATAAAAAAAAAAAAAAACAGATTATTCTCAGGTGTCAAATAGAAGCGCATGCTTACGGCTGAAAAGAAAGAAAAATACACTGATAAAGAAAAAGAATACAATATAAAAACACTCCAAGCTAAAGAGAGAAGGTTTAGAGAGGTGAGAGAATCTGCTCTTCATTATAAAACTTGTTCGTTAACCATGTTGCTGACATGACATTAGGACACATGAGGGACTTTGCTCCATACATGACCACAGCCTTCATTTAAACTCGGGCTTTGAATGAAATTTCTTGGCACTGATTGAATTCCTATTGAAATTCAAATCAGTTGGCTTTTCCACAATGGGGGCTCATTTGGAGCTGCTCAGTGATTTAGGGCTCCGGCACCAAGCAGTGAAAAAACAACTGCGGTCACAGGATAATTGGCACCATAAAAGCAATGTAGAAAATTAAGCAAAGTAATAAATAACCAGGACACTTGTTAATGGGTCCTAAAGTGATGATGCAAGGTGCTGCATGATTCCTTAACTAAACAAGGGGAGATTTCACTCACTTCATCATATAGCCTATATAGATAATGAAGGATAAAAGAAAACAATAGGCTATATAAATTAAGCACAGTGCATCATTTTTATTGAATGAAATCTAAGAAAATCTTAAATGACTAACTTTATGAAGAACTTTGCATATTTTTTTTGTTTTTTTTTTGCACTTATGAAAAGTCTCCGAAGGGAATTCTTAGAGACTCTGTAAGATTATCTATAAATAGTAAAACAATTCTCGTCAGTTCTTCGCCATGCAACTCCAAGAAAAAAAACTTAGCACTAACCCAAAAAGCGCAAAGCATTTCCACTATCACGTCGCGTATTTGTCATGACAGCCGAAATCTTGACAGATGAGGTTCTGAGGAAGCTTTCGACTTTTCCCAGCTGAGCTTTATCGTAAACAGAAAATACTTACCAGGGAGGACTAAAATCGCGGAGATCTGTGTTTTGGCATGCACAGATAAGGGAGGAGAGAGCATGAGCTGAATCCAGAGGGAGGAATGTCTCCAACTCCACAATGCACCAAAAGAAAAAAAAAAAAAAAAAAAAAAAAAAATTCTGTGAGGCGCTGCCTTTTTTTCAGCTTACTATTCCACAATCAACCGGCATCAACTCAGATCAGAGGATATATTCCAAAGCGGAGGGGCAGTGTAGTCCAGTGCCATGCAAAGAAATCCGACTTTACACGCTTTATCCTTCGAAAAGAGCTCGGAAAACCATACTGCTGTCCCCCCGAAACTTTCCTCCCCGTCACCAAGTTTCTTCTAGGGCGCAAAACATGCCCAGTGTTCCCGAGCAGCGCACTTGTCAACTAAAAAGAAAGTTTGCAGCTATTAAGGAGGTAGAATGCTGGGTTAAACTGTGCAAGGGAATAGTTGTCCGGAACAAAATGTCATAAAATCCATCAGTGTGCGTTCCCCAGCTGAAAAGAGCGTCTTTCGCGTCTCCGTCTCTCCTTCCGCCGTCAGTCCTCGCACTGTTTCTCAGACGCTTTGTCAGGTTTACTAGGTTTTTTCTCCTCCTTACGTCTCCACACACTGCCCTCCTCCTTCACTCCAGTGGGTGTCACCCCCCCACCCCACCCCTTCACCCTCCCCAAAGCACCCCCAGTGTAATTCGAGCTGCTTCCTGCAAACTGCAGCGCTGCCTGCGCTGCGCTGAGCTCCGAGGCCCCTGCTCCGCTCTCCGGAGCTGTCAGGCCGCAGTAACGACGCCCCTCAGTGGCCAAGGAGTGACATCTGCGGCCAGAGACGCACTTGAAGATACGCACACAGAGGTGCACAGAGCATCCTTACAGTTGTATTTCAGTATATTTAGATGCTGCAGTGAAGTATTCAGACATTTTTATTAACTAAGACTAGAAATAGCTCAGTGTAAAATATAATCCAGTTAGCATTTAAAACTGTAATAGTACTGAAGTATTATCAGCAAAATGATTGATGATATGATTTTTCATGGAAAGCAACAAATTACTTTAAAAGAGACAATATTAAAATATACATAAATATATCAGTTTCAAAGCTGTAATGTTTCACAACAAGCAGCCTACTATTAATTTTATCTGCCAACAGTAAAAAGTTCAGTATTTGCTCTAAAATATGATGGAGTTGAAGTATAAAGCTGTATAAAATGGACAGTAACTCAAGTGAAGTAAAACAACATCAAACTCGTTCTTAAGTACAGTGCTGCAGTAAAAATACCTTGTTACATTCCACCACTGAGATGCTGCATGAGGGTTGAGACAGCAACCAAAACAATCAGTTAGTCAGCTTGTGTAGCCCCTTCACATCAAGTCAGGCTTGAGTCTTGCTCAAAGAGACTTTGGCAAGCACGGACTACTTAGATCTATTGTCATCTGCCTTTCGTTTTTATAAGAATGTCAAATGGTGAGTGAGATCTGTCTTATGTGTCATATTCTAAAATGAACATGTCAGCACTGTAATAAACAGATTGTCATGGTTTTGGAGCACAAGAGAAATAAACACAACATTTATTATCATTTAACATGTAGTCATGCCTCTGTACCACAGGGTATAAACATGTATTTGGATAAAGAGCGACTGATACACCGTGGTGGAATGTAGCTCAGTTGTGCTTGAGTAAAACTTCACTTGAGCGTTTTGATGCTAGTACTTTGATTTGATGCTACTTTACACTTCTGCTCCACTACATTTGGTTTAGTTGTTAATTTACAGACAAAATAGTGTGATCGGTTGTGATCAGTGACATATTGTTATAGATGTAAGTGCCTAACACTGAGTTCAAATTGGCTCCACTTCCATGAAATTGCTGCTTGCATTTTAATGCAACAGTAATAATACCTCAATAACATAACATATAGTAATTTAACTTTTTCTTTTAATACATTTTTCTGCTGCTACTTTCGTTTCGCTGGCTGAAGTTTGTAAAAGGGTTTCTGGTTGTAAAAGGGATTTTTTTTACAGCATGATATTCATCACAAACATAATGTTTGTGAGCATGCAATAATACAGTACCTGCGACAGTCAAGACAAGAGGACATGAACTAAAGTTAAAGAAAGTTTTTTTTTTCTGCTATTGTGCATTGTCACAGATGTAGGAGTAACTGAAGTTCATAACTTTCCTACAACTGAACAGATCTGTCCGCAGCTACCCAGAGAGAGAGAGAGAGACTGAAGGCTGGCCCCCTGTAGCTCGTCCCCCACTGCTTCAAGCTGTCTCCTGCATTGGTTCAGGCGTTCAAGTGCTCTGAAAGAGACACAGGGGAGGGTGGAAGACTCTAATCTCCACAGACTTTTTATTTTTGTCTTGCTTCCACTGCTGAAGTCCTCCTTTTTTTTTCTTTTTTTTTTAAACAAGGGAGGGAAAACGCTTCCATTCATTTTGAAAAGAGGCACTAACAAGAGTTTTGGGGTTTTTTTCCCCTGAGGGAAAGGTTTGGCCTGTGAATGGAGAGTTCTACGTCTGTTTTTCTCTCCTCTCCCATCTCTGCCTCCACCAGTAAAGCCATCAGATAACAGTGGAGCTGACAGGTTGGCTAGAAATAAAGAGAGTACGAGAGGTGAGGAAGGAGAGTTTGACTCATTTTTCAAGAGTGGCACAAAATACCCCCCACTGTTTCTCCCTCTCTGTGTGTCTCTTTCCTCCCACTGCATAAGTCTATTTACAGTTCCCCAATTTATTTTCCACTGCTCGGGCATCCCACATTTGAAAGAAACCTCATCAGGCAGAACCTCACGGGCCTTTGACTGAGAACTGGACTCAATGCCCCTGCGCTGTGGTATCCGTCAACCTGTCATTGTCCCTCTTCATCTCCAATCTTTTCTTCAGTCGTCTTTCTTCCTTAATCCCTCCTGCGCCGGCAGTGTTTGGAATGAGAGAAGAGAGTGAGAGGAAAAGCAAGCGACAAGCTAACAGCTCGTCATCGGCATCTTAGATGAACGTATTGATTCCGTTGTTGATAGAAATCAACAGGCAGGTAGCTGACTGCAGAGGCTCTCTGATAACCATGTGCTAATGGTGAGAATTCCTCTTATTTCTGCGGCGATTGAAGCTGTGAGTGATGTTGGAGTCTGAGCCACTCACCAGTCATTAAACACACCTCCTGCTGCTATGCAAATCTGAGATGCTGTTGAAGTGAGCTAATCAGCAACTAGCCGTTACTTCCCTTTGTCTATGGACCAGCTAATTGGTTCACATTAAAGTCCCTCTCAAGTCTAAAATGTGTTTTGCTTATTGTAACTTCACTTGTTTGAGCTTCACTGTGCAGAGTGATTGATGTGCAGAGTTTGTCACTAGAAGGTTGTTTTCACTTTCAATTAAAAGTACTTGTTACTACTTTTCATCCAAACTAGTTTGGAGGCCAGTCATGGTCCAGTATGCAACTTATAAAGTGTGATGTGGAAATCAGAAAAACATACGGACTTCACGGTGAAGTAGGAGACGTCTTGCATCCAGCAGCTGAACCTTTTCAAACAAAAGAAAAAAATACTCAAGATTTTGTAATGAGAGAGGGAGTGGATGTGCTTTTTAAATTTTTGTGGGAAAAAAACATGTCAGACACAATTTATTATTCAAATTCAATTATTTTTATATGTTTTAAAACATGTCTGGAGAGGATCAGTCCTCACTTGTTAAACCTCTTCACTTTATAGTGCTAATATTTTGCCTGATGCCAGTAACGTCTAGCAGCATGGCTCAGTGTCAATCATTTAGGTCCAGACTGAAACATCTCAGCAGCTATTGGATGGATTGCCAGGGAGATTTTACATTGACATTCCTGGTGCCCAGAGGATGAATCCTAGTGACTTTTGTGGTCCCTGACTTTTCCTCTCGTGCCCCCGAGAGGTCAAAAGGTTAACTTGTTCAATACTTCTGTTTATATTTCAAATATCTACAAAAATGATCTTTCCCATCAGCCTCAGCTGTACTCTTTGTGTTCAGTGCTAATTAGCAAATGTCACCGTGCTAACACGTTAAACTAAAACGGTGAACATTGAACATGACACACTCAGGGAGCTATCTGGCTGCAGACTCTTTGTTTTGCTTCTTATGTTATGAAGGTGATTCTATCTTTCTGTTGCGGTTCATGAAGGGTCATGCCTATTTTAAGCAGCTGCAGTCATCACAATATCATCATGACTATATAAGTGATAACATAGGCAATGGTTGTGTTGTACGCCTTTATTGAGTCAATCAACCATTATACAGTGCTTTTTTTTTTACTACAGCGGCACATAGACAATCCACTCCCTTACAGTGAACTGGGCCAGAGCTGCAAAAGTCCCTCCCCCTGTCTCTCTAAATGCTATAGAAGCCTAACCAACATACCCACTGTTGAGAATCACTGAGTACAAAACAGACTTGTTCTCCTGAGAAAGATCATTCTTTCTTCTTCCTCAAGGGTGCTGCTGTTAATCATGAATGGCAGTGATATGTTATTGTAACTCCACTGCGCCAAATCTTACAGAGACCTCTCCTTCTTCTCCCAATATATCACTGACACTGTATAATTAAAACATCAAACATAGGTGAGTCATATCCTGTGCAAAATATGAAACAAATGCGCCGAGTGTGTGGCGGGGGGGATGGGGGAGATTGGAGAGAAGTCAGAAGTAGATGCACGCCTGAGGGTCTAATTTGAACCATATAGCTTCTCTGTAGCCATGTGGCGATGTAAACGAACCCTGGCAGAACGTGCAAGAGCGGAGTTTAGGTGTTCGGATAGACAGGAACAAAAATCTGTAGCAGGGGCCCAAGAAATGGGTTTGATAATGGCAAAGTATTCTGAAATAAGCCTCTTACTCTCATCATGTGGGCACTCAGGACATCTCCTCCATCCAGGAGGCCAGCTCTTACTGCTGAACCCTCCCACTCCACCCGACATGAGCCATCTCGCACTGCAGAGTCCCTCTGCTTTCAGCCCACCAGGCATCACTCCATAAGTCAGCGGGTCTTCCTCCTCAGTGTCACTGATATGCTGTAATAACCTCGTCCAGACAACCAGGCCTCCGCTGTCCTCTC